CTTAACGTTTCACTTGGAGGTTGGGAATGCTTGAGCTCTTAAGCCCTGTCCCTTTTTTCCTATTGCAGCTACAGTAGCTTCAACAGCTACAGTTGCTTTTTCAAGTAGAAAAACTCTTACTAATACCACCGATTCTCCCCGAGAGCTGGCCGCGCCAGTTCCCCTGCTGCACTCACAGGCTGGATTCCACCCCCAGCCCCTTCACAGTCCTCCATCTCTGCAGCCACAATCCCTGACCTCAAGCCACACACCTTCCACACTCCAGTTGACAGAGATCAGCGCAAATGTCGCCTCCTCCTGGAACCTCGAACTGCTGAGATTCTTGCCTCCTCTGCCGAGTCCAAATGCCGTGTCCCTCCTCCAAATTCACAGGTAGTATTATCTGTGCATCTTTCGTGCTGTCCATCACAGCTACCTGCTGTCTTTTATGTGTCACCCCCCACCTTAAAGGCAGGTCCTTGAGATTAGGGACTGCCCCTTACCTGCTTTCACTCTCCATCCCTCACCTGTAGAGTCCCAGACCACAGCTTCCTGTGGAGGGCACACGTTCATACTGTCTGTGGACAGGTAGTGCCCACACTACAGCTGGAGACGTTTTAGTACAAACAGCAAGTCTTTCCACAGGTATATGGGAGGAAGGCTAAAGGAGAATCGGACTGTAGTTGAAGGAGGAATAAAAAATTAAAACAAAATAGTTTACTTAGAAGCAGGGGTGGGGAGGCGCACTAGCAGAGCCGGCCGCTTCTCGCCCTTCTCCAAGCTGGCTGCACACCGGCACGCTCCTTGGCCCAGCGACCACTCAGCCCCTCCTGAGCCGCATAGCACTGTCGAGCACAAGGGCAGTACAACATCGCTTAATTTGTCTTTTTAGTGTAATGAATCAAATCAGAGAATCTGAAAATAAAGCAAACATTTCAGCTCTTCAGCCTTTCTCCTCTGATTCTGAGGACGTTTTGGATGCCCAGGAGTATGAGTTGGGAAAAAAAGGCAAATAATATCCAGGAGTTATCCCACCAAGTGGACCATTTGACACAATTGATATCCAAATTGGTGCAGTGATTGGATGTTTCAACTTGGACTTTAATGCTTGCTAAAATTCAACCTCTGCCTCCTCCTCCAACTACCCACCTAAATGATACCATCAACCTATGTAACTGGATTAATACAAGCATTAGCAAATGAACATAGATTAATTCCTCATGATTGGGAAGTTTTATACCATATAATTTGTTTCAGTTGTGGTAAATTGGATCATATGAAGCAAGATTATTAAAAAAAGAAAGAGTAAAGATAAAAACAAACTCAAAAAAAAAAACTCCTTTTGGCTCTGCTCAAAAGGCAGAGTTAGCTGCCATTTTTATATTAATGTAGAACTGCTCTGATTCATTAAATCTTGTCACTGATTCTCAATATGCTGAACACACAGTAAAAGAAATAAAAACTGCCACCTTGATTCCTCATGGTTCTGACTTAATGCAATTGTTTTCTATGCTGCAGCAGCTCTTTTTTTTTTTTTTTTTAAATGAATTTAGGACAGGGCTACAGGGTCTCACTATATAGATCAGACTCATAGTGATTCTCCTGTCTTTAGCCTCCAAGCGCTGGAATTACAGGTGTGCCCCACCATGCCCAGTCTCAATCGCCATCTCAGTGCACCCCAGGGTCAGGGCCGGCATGGCCTGCCAGGGATCAAACCCTGGCCACTGCGCTGTGCCAAAGCAGGCGCTTTAGTCTGCTGAGCTATCTGGCCAGCCTTTGCTGCAGCTTATTAAAAACAGACGTCATCCTGTCTTTATTAAACAATCAGATAAGTAATATTCAAGCTGTTTTCTAAAAGTTTTGTAAACTTTTCATACTTCCTTTTTTTTTTTTTTTTTTCCGGAACCGGGGATTGAACTCAGGCCCTTGCGCTTGCCAGAGAAGCACTGAGCCACCTCCCCGGCCCCCATACTTCCTTTATTCCTTTATTCCTTATAAATTCCAAGATCAAAGAATTGTTAAATGTAAAAAAAGCTAAAAGGAAAAAAGTTACATTGAGTTTGAAAAATGGACAGATGGAGTCTCAAAAACCATAGATGTTTATAGACATATACAAAAATGTTCATTGTTTTCTTGGTTCCTGTTTTATGTTAGTTTCTAACACCACCATAAAGGACTTAGGACTTACTGTGGAATACTGGTTTTTTGTTTGTTTGTTTGTTTTGTTTTTATGTATTTGGTACAGGGTCTCACTGGCATGGCATGCGGGACTGGGGATCGAACCCCTGGTCCCTGAGCTTGCCAAAGCAGATGCTTAGTTTGCTGAGCTATCTCACCAGCCTGAAATAGTTTTATAATCATGTCTTAAATAGGACAAAGAGGATAGAGGGAAGGGACAGTAGATAGTTTAAACCTTCTAGCTTTGCTCAATTAGATTTTTTAAAAAAGAAAAAAAGATTATTTTAAATTGCAAACAGTTGGTTCCAAGCAGCAGCACACGGACAGCAGGAGGGGCACAAATTGCGAATCATGGAGAGCCCTGTGCACCCATCCACTCCCATCCTAGGCCGACCCGGCTGGCTTCCCAGCTGCTTGTGCTTCTGCATGATAGTTCAGCACCAGAGGCCTGTGTGCTAAGTAGGAGGATCAAGACTAAAATCAACCAAAGGCAGAGCCCCAGTACTAAGTGGTCTGCAGGTTTTGCTTGGTGTTATAAGTGCTGTTTATACAGGAAAATCAAAGTTATAATCCTATCTACCCAAACCATTGTTTAACTCACACCAGATTCTTAGATTGCTCACTTGGTCATTCATCTTTTGATAACAATTTTAAAATTATTAAGAAGAAATACTGAGTTAAAAATAAAAATTAATTAATTAAAGGAGAAACATTTAAAGGCTTTCCAAATGCAAGTGTGGGTGGACCGCAGGTAGGGCAGATACAAAAGTGCTCACTTGCCCACATGAAGAGATTAAAAAGAGCTATTCCCCCAGGACATAGAATTTAACAAAAAAGCAAAAAATAGGAGTGCTTCTCTTTCTCTGTTAAAACTGACATTGAGGGAAAAGCTTTTACAATTTCCCCTTAAGCTGATTAAATTAAAAGGCTATTATCATACTGAAGATAAAAAGTTTGCTTTAAAGAAAAAACTGTATTTCCTAAAATTTACAATAATGGAGATATTCTAAAAGATTACTTAAAATTATTTTAATTCCTAGTAAGTTTGATTGCTTGTTTTACAGTTTTAAATTAAAATTGGTATTAAAAAAGGCCTTGATAGTTTACAACCAAACATAAAAGTTTCAAATAAAATCTAAAAGCAGTTGGGTTTAAACAGTAGCTTGATTTTGACATCTTATTTAAATAGTAGAAGGCCCAGTGGTGGCCTCCAAAGGGGTACAAGCTATGATTTCTTCTTCATATTTGAGTCAACTTATGCAAAAAAAAATGTATCATACCCCAAAATGTTCAGATCAACCATTCATGATTTTCAGACTTTACTGATAATATTAATTTGCTCCATCTAGATTTTGGTCTAATTTCTCTGGTGTTATTGGCTGTCATTATCCTTCAGATAAGTTAAATTAATTTGCTTTTTTAACAGATAAGTCACACGAGATTAAGTGAAAAAATGTATGATTTCCTCTTCCAAAATATAAAATACCAGTTTCTCACCATACAGTCAAAATTCTACTAAAGCAAAAGGAAAGTCAAGCCCTTCAACTTCACTTATCAATATATACTGTTAAATTTTTAAATTTTTACAAAAGATAAAAATACAACAACAAAAAGACACACCAGCTGAGAGAAAAAAACACTAATAAGGGTCCTTTGGAGAGATCGCCATACTGGACAATGGAAAGGACTCGATCCACTACTAACCTGTGTCAGAGAGTATACTTGTGTTTTTCCAGAGAACGCTAAATGACCTGTTTGGGTACCTGACAGTATACTGTCAGGCTGTATAATGAAGCCAGATCTGGAGAAGAAATTAACAGCAAGAAGGCTGGATCCAACCTGGGGTCTATTCAAGGAACTGATCAAATAGAAATCTAAGGTCTAGACAATAAAATATGTAAAAATAATTGAGCCAAATTTTATTACTATTAAGACAAAAAATATAAAAATACAAAATATACATATTAATTATAGATAAAAGATTTTATTCCTTTTAAATTTTTCTAATAAGAGATCTCTGCTTATTGACAAATAACAAAATCTGACTACTCTTGTAATTATAAATTTCTAAAAATTATAATAGTTAGTATAATTTAATTTAGTCAAAGATTTGAATGCACTCTTGATTTTATAAGGTTGTTTATGTTCTGTGTATTTGTCTATGTGCTTATATCTCACTCAATGAACAACTGTACCTCTTTTTTCTTTTTTCATGATTTGTTCTAAATATAATTTGAGATATAGACTTAAAAGCATGCTTTTTCTTAAATTACCAGATAGTCCAAGTGATATGGAAATTGGTTTATACTGTTCATCACACAATTTATTACAGAGGAGTTCAACTGATGAATAACAAGTGTGGCCAACCTTTTTATTCATTAATGAGGAGCTCCCAATAATCTCAGTAGTCTCTTAGGAGACACCCTCAATAACTTGATCATTGGTTAAAAAGATAAAAGTTTCTCAGAAAAAATTACAATAAGGTTTTCTCTTAAAAATTGTTTTGGTACAAAACTAAGAAAGATTTTCACATGTATATGGTACTTCATTATCATCAATCTCAGAGTATGCTAAGTGTATTTATAATTTCAGGTGTACAGGTCTCTCAAAATGTAAAACAAAGACTGCTTATTGGGCTAAGACTTTTTCTCAGATGCAAACTTTTGCCTTTCACAAAAAACTTGTGATGTATATTCCATTTAAGGATGACTAAGTAGATGAAATTTTTTTATATATTAGATAGAGATGATTAAAAGTGTTTTATCAAAATGGAAGCTTAAGTATATCATGAAATGTCAGGCATCCCCTTCAGCTTGAGCAGCTACACATGGATATCAAAGACAATGGTCAAGAATAAAATAAGAGGGCAGAAGTCCAAGAACATATTTCACATAGCCAGCCAAAAAAACTTTAAGTCCAAAAACAAAGCAAAACCAGTTACCACTAATCTTAAGAAGATAAACATTGTGAATGATGAAAAAGTACACAGAATGAATAACACTTTTGTAAACATTCAGAAGGAACTTGCTCACTTCTCAAAAAGTCTGACTCTTGAACCTCATAAGAAAGAGCTGATTAATCAACCGCATCATGAAAATGAACCAGCTAATGTTGATGAAGCCACAAGTTTAATGATTCAATTGTAATATGGTGGAGAGATGTATCAAATTTAAAAAACTCAATAAAATAAGTATTTTATACAAAAATGAAATGTCATCAGGATTGTCCTACTACAATGTTGTATATGGTTTTGATTTCTACATCTCTGCATAGAAATATGTATCTTTTGTCTGTTAACATCCTATAGGGACTTAATATTATAATATCCACAGTCAATTATAAAATGAGCTAACAGAAGCTTAAAGGAAATGTTCATTAAATGAAAAGGGTGAAATGGTATGGGAATACACATGAATACCTTTACATTGCTTAGAAAGCTCTATTTATATATATTTTTTAAATCAACTGCCAGACAGATCTTCTGTTGCAGACCATCACTGGA